CAATTAGTCAACATATATAAATATTAAGAGTGGGTCAGCAGATCATTATGATTGACCCTCTCTCTCTTTTCTAAAAAACCTTCGTGTGCTTCTTCTTTTCTCCCTCTCTTCTTCTTCTTTTCTTCTGAAATCTTTCTTTTTGCTTTCGAATTCAAGACTGATTGTAGTCTTGATTGACTACTCTATTGCAGCCAAGCTGCACTACTCCAACCATAGCCAACACCAATTAGGCCAAGTTTTACCATTTCTTCAAGCAGACTAATGTTCCTTTGTGTCCATTGTAATGGGTGCTCTTTTTTTTTTTGCAGTTAAAAAGCATTTTTACTAAAAAAAAACAATGCATTGGCAAGATCTCAATATTCATCAGTTTAAGATAACAGTAGCAAATTATTTATTCTGATTCTTGGTAGAGAATCTTYTCATCATATCATCAATAGGCCATGGAAGCAAATACCATGCTGAGTAAACAACTGGTGCTCTGCAAAACCATACTGAAAGTTTTAAACTCTTCTACTCATCTCAGTGCCTAAAAAAGGCACTACCTGTGCATCTCAAATTGAACTTTCAAAGGAAACATGAATTTGACTGCTATAACTCAGATTCAGATTTGAAGCAATAGCTTCTTCAAGTAATTTCAGAACACCTAGAAAGGTTAGGATTTCTTGTTTGAATGGGAAAAATTAGGAGAAGAGAGGTTTTGGGTTTCCAGTTTAAGAAGTAATGGAATGGACATTTAATTTCACACATGAGGGTTGAGCTCTCGTGTTAATGGACAGGTGGCAGCTGGGTAATGTGGGGAGAAATGCTGGTGGTGTCAAGTGGGTAGAAGATCCGGAGCCAGATTAATGAGGGAAGTTTTGCTACATAGGCCTTTTATTCAGTAATATACATGACTTGTTGCACAGAAAAAGGAAGCCTTCTTACTCCCAAGTAACTTTTCAATTTATAATTCTCAAAACAGAACAATGCTTGATAACCCAATATGTGGTGGCAATATAACTGACAAGGACTGGGGTGCCACTCTTAAATACACACCCCCTCAAATGTTGGCCTATACAATACATAGTCCAAAACTTTGTATTAGCCACATCATCTATCTACAGTACTAATAGACAAGGGATTGTACATGAACTGACCTAGATGAATTCAAGAACGTGATTTTACTAACTATATCAGTCATATTAGAGAATGTCATACCAACACCTGCATGCTCTAGCCAATTCCCTAGTTACCACCCCAAGTTGGCACCAATGAGTTTACTGTCCCTGCATATGCAAAATATAGTTTAACAATAGAACATTATAAACTATATCAAAGCCAAAAATGAAGATTGAAACTGTTTGCAGTTACATTTTAATTAAAGTTGAAAGAGACATACCTGACCCTTTACACTCTTGCGATTTCCAGCAGAACCCTTAATAGAACTGTTCACAATTGTGCATTGCCTAATAGCTTCCTCAAGTGCACAAACTGCAATATTATAACTCTCTTGAGATATTGATCCATCTTCACCCAATTTAAGGGCTCGTTGACATAAATCATTATAGCGTTGTACTCTAGATTGCACTACTTCTGTTCTCACTCTYGTAGAATACCTGCTTTTTGCATCCTTTGTCCATTGTTTAAGTATATAATGAGGGGGGATTGTTGATACAGTTGCAAATTGGAAAACAACCATTGCATGCCTACAAAGAAAACCTTTATATTCAAATAAATGACATAGACAAGATATCTCTGATTTTGATTCATCCCAAGTAACAATGAAGTCATGTTCTGCTTCAAAATCTTGGACCCTAAATATCATGGTGGTCCCATCTTGCCTCTCTTTTTTTGGTTGGCATGCAACTATACCCAATACCTCAACTTGAAACATTTTAAAGATTTCATGAGTGTAGATTGTTGACATTTGTTTCTCATAAGGTGAATGCGACTTCAAAGTAGGTATTCCATGCCATGTATCAATTTCTGCTTTGGATTCTTCTTCATATCTATCTTGCAAAAAGACTTTATATTGTTGGAAAAATTCTTTCAACATGGTTTTCCTCGTTAAATACTTGTCAAATGAAGAGTTAATAGTCTTAGATCGTTGACCAGCAGACATCCCTGCAAAGAAAGTGTCCTTCATGTATGTTGGGGCCCATTTCTTGCGATCTTCATACAATGATTTCATCCACTGATCTTCCCCAAGTTCAAAAGTTTGAACAATTTTCCACCACTGGCTTTCAAACTCTTCATCTGTCCATGACCTATAGATGCATTTATTAAACTCTGCCATAAAATTCTCATGGTTTTTAATTACATGACTAAGCTTATCTGGAATCTTTCCTAATATATGCCACAAACCAAACAGATGATGTGTGCTTGGAAAGATTTCTACAATAGCTGCTTTCATGGATTCAACCTGGTCAGTAACTAACACCTTTGGAGCAACTCCACCCATTGCTCTAAGCCATGTCCTCATTATCCAAAGAAAAGTAGATTTAGTCTCATCTGCAATTAAAGCACACCCAAAAAATGTAGGCTGAAAGTGATGGTTTGCTCCAATAAAAGGAACAAATGGCATTCTATACCTATTTTTTATATATGTAGTATCGAAAGATACTATATCACCAAAATAAGTATAATCATGCCTACCCTTCGGATCAACCCAAAACACATTTCTCAATCGTTGTTCATCATCCAAATCAATTGCATAGAAGAAGTTTGTGTTCTCTTCCTGCATACATGTAAAATATTCAAGCATAGCTTGTCTATCTCCTGCTTCAAGGTACAAATGTCTTTGATTTTCAACATCCCTCTCCAGATATTCACCATTATGCATGGGCATCATATGCATGAGACCATCCATGTTATCCCTATTTATTGAATTTGTACTCTCGTAGCTCCGGAAGTAATAGGATTTGGGTGGCAGAAGTTCATGGTTATGCTCCTTTATAAAACTAAATACAACCCATTTTCCATCTTTTGTTTTTTTCATATGCAAGCTTGCCTTGCATCCTATCTTATAACAAGGCCGTTGGTTCGCAAYATCACCTGACTCTTTCTTTTTTCCTTGTCTAGAGCATGTAAAAGTTGTACTGATAAACTCCCGATTTGCCTTGGAACGAATGCTGTTTTTCTTTATACTCTCAAATCCTGCCATCCTAGCATATTCTCTATAAAATGAATATGCTTCATCTCTAGATTCAAATTCCATTCCCTCATAAGGTTCTAAATTTACATTCTCTTCAGTGACAACAAACCTCCTGGTAGAACTCATATCTGATTCCTTTTCACCACTCACCTCTCCATCAGTCATAGTATTTCCACCAAAATTTAGCCCAATATCTTCCATTACATGTTCATCTCCATCAGCATTCAGTCCAACATTTTCCATTTCATGTTCATCCACATGTGTCTCTAGATCAATTTCCATGAAGACAGTCTAAATCTTTAACCACACAGCACTTTTCCTGATAAAATTGAAGTATGAAAATTTATAAGTACTGAAATGAATGAAGGAAACTTTAACCCCCCCCCCCTCTCACTCCCACCCCCTTTTCTCCTTTTTTTCAGTAGGGTGGGGGTGTGCAAGAGGGAAGGAAATAAACAAAACAAAACCTGGTAGAAATACATGCACATTAAGACCAAATTGCAGTGTGACATCAATGAGGATACTAAAACAAGAGAATGCAAGATAATATAAGATCCACATACCGAGTACATATAAAAACAGGAAAAAAAAAGGCAATAACAAATCTGGCCTTCCAACCACTTTCTAGTCTCTCCATGTAAAATTGCACTCAGAATTTAAATCTTTCTCTTCTTCAGTTCAGTTTTTTCAAGCTTTACAAATATTCTGAACTAATTTCCCCACATATATGACTTTTAAGTTGGCATAAGTACCCACTTCAAAAGAAAACAACTGGGTYGATTTTCTTTTCTTTCCTTCTTCATCTACCAATTCACTTATTTCTTAGTTTCTATCTTGGGCTTTGAGTGAGAAATTAAAACTCATGATGAGTCGATTGACTACACCATCTACTTTCACGATGCTAAGTCCATGAAAACTGAACAGAGGATCAAAGAACCCTTGAAAGAAAATCACGCAACAGCAACATAACCAATCTATAATTTACCGGAAATCGAAAATTAAACCAAGAATATACCTTGTATTAGATAAGCACAAATGCACAGTATGATTTTCGCAAATCCACCAGAAATAACAAAAGCACAATTAGGGCTTCAGTTGGAAAGCTCGAATAACTAAGGAGTTCAGATCTTAAGGATAAATCTGCTCTAACAACACAGAGAGAGAGAGAGAGAGAGAGAGAGAGAGAGAGAGAGAGCTGGGCTCCCGATGGAGGCTAGAGATTTTTCTTTCTTCACGGATGATGGATCGGAGGAAAGGGAAATGCTAGCGCCACTCCCACCACGATATAGGTTTCTTTACTCGCAGGCTCGTAGTCGTAGCGAATTAGCGATGTACTAGCCAGTAGCCTCTAAGCGCAAAAGGACAAAAATAAAACACCCCTTATTCCTCTCTTGTAAATGTCTTCAAGCCGCAGTTGAACCCTCCGGTCTGACCAGTTGAACTGCGACCCAATCATGCTTCTGGTCCATTTCACCCTTGGACCGATTAAAAAAAAAATGTTTACTTGGTCAACGTCCTGGTGACCCATCTGGTTTTCATTAGACCTGTTCGATGGGTCACTGGTTAGACAGTAATTTTTTATTCTATTTTTGTATATTTCTAGCCATTTCATCACTAAAATCAGATATGTCCAACTCTTTTTTGTAATTTTTTACAATTTTCGTTATTTTTATACATTTTATCTATTATTTATTACCTACTAGATAACAATATGACTTAACTAAACTTTTTTTTACTTTGATAATTGAACCATTGACATGTGAAATGAAACCAAATTTATATCAATGCATCAAGAAAGCAATTTATATCAGTGCGAATACAAATGTGTAGAGTGCAAAACCTTATATTTTGTATTATTTCGTATACATTTACATTGTATATATTTGTCTTTGTACTCTTTTCAAACTAAGCTATGGGAAAATTTGGTTTATAATGAACAAACGAGTTCAGATGAGCAATCAACACATAGTGCCAAAAACGTTCCAACCAGCCATTGCAGCCGTACATTGGGAATGTCTCTCCATGAATGACAAGACAGAATAATCAATCTTTGTCTAAGTGGAGGGAGATATAAAGAATCTTCAAATTCTTAATTCTTGTATCATGTGAGAATTGCCCGGCAGAAAAGAATAGGTGATTTATCAGGATTATTGCATGCAAAGTTGGCAAATCAGCCATGAAGTTTCCTTTTCTCGAAGACTATGTTTGGTTTGAAAGAAAAGGTAGGGAAAGGAAGGGAAAGACAGGAAAATCAATACAAGGGTTGTAAAGGTTTCTCTACATTTCCCTACATTTTCCCAATTCAACCACCTAACCAATTCCTCAAACCTCAGGGTATCTAAACCAGCCTTTTTGATCTTGTCATATCATAAGAGAGTTATTCAAGGCGCCAAGGAGTCGTGTTTGCATCCATTTAACACATTAACCATAACAACAAAATCACTTTCAAACCATATTGACAAGTAGTCAGATCCCTTCAGCAAGCATATGCCATTGCATAATAGCTCTTGTTTCAACCTTTATATTGATCTTCATCTATTTATATCTATATATTAAAATGTAATGTATCAAGTTGCTTCAACCTCAATGGCACGTACCTAGTTTTAAAATTGAACAAAATAACTCGAGTGATAAATCATTGTTAAGACTTTAACTCTTCTCATTAACTCACTATTAGCTCTGTCTCTTTCAATAACTCATGCAACTAATTCTCTCTCCATTACTATATTAAATTGCCTATAAAATTCATTAACTTGAGAGTATCTATATTCGTTTTAAGTTATAACTATTAATAATAGATTAACTAGATTAATTATATTGAAATGGACATAGCCGATGATATATTATTTCGCTAAATAATCTACTTCCATTTAAAATTTAATTAATTTTAAGTTAGTTAATCAAGTAATAATGTGCATTTTAGAGTTAATATTATTTACTTCACCCCAAAAATAAAGTCAATGTTTTAAAATTTTACTTCACTCTAAGTCATGGGTCAATGGTTTAATTGTCCAGGTTGGATGAGTTAAACCGTGATCATCCATCTATATATGTATAATATAATATCATATAATATCTCTCTCTCTCTCACACACACACACACACACACACACATATATATATATATATATATATATACACTTTTTATTCTTACTTTTTTTATAAATAAAAGACATGAAAGTTGAAATTTAAGGCCAAAAGTTGAGCTTTTCTTTGTATAGTGAGGCAGCAAAGATTGTGAAAAGTTAACCCAAAAAAAAAAATACCCCAATCAAACAACCGAGCACAAAATGGAGGATTGTCAGTTTACAATCTTTTTTATGTATCTATTCTTTTTGTTCATTTGTTAAAGAGATGTAAGATTTAAATAAAGGGAATTGAATGAGGTGAAAAGTAGTAGTTCAACTTACAATTTAAACCTCATAGTTAAATAGGGATTATATTCAAAAATGAGTATTCTAGTCAAAAGAAAGTTCTACAATCTTATTCATATATTCAATAGTAGTGTAAATATAGAGTTATAGATGTATTCAATTTTTTCTATAATTCTTTTTTGTATTTCTATGTGTAAAAATAATTCTGATATATCACACTTACTTTTTGTTTAATATGATAATTATATAATATTATACATGTGCATTTTTTTCGCAAAATTTATGTAATTTTTCATTTTTTTATTTTATATTCTATTAATTTTTATTATTTATTTATGACATTAAATGTTAATACATTTGACCCAAAAGTTGAACTATTGATCTTTTCCAAATAGTAAAATAATTTTATTTTTGGTTAGTTCTAAATTATGTATTCCATTATCATTATCAATAAAAATAATTCTTGTTTATTACACTTATTTTTTAATTTGATTAATAAAAATGTCATAAATGTGTTTAATTTTTCCACATTTTTGTAATTTTTTTATATTTATTTCTATTTTAAAAATTTTATTACTTAACTCTGACTTCATATGTTGATCAATTTGATTCGGATGGTTGAATTGCTTAGCCACCACTTGGATAAAGAATGGTTTTGTTTTCAGTCGATTTTAAAATATATAGGTTTATATTGTCAATAGATCTAATTAGTAGCATTTATTAGTGAAAAATAACTTAAATATAGGGTTAATAAGAGAAAATGAGAGTTAATACCTTTAAGTATAAGACTTAATGAGAGGGGATTAAATGAAGTGGAAAGTAATAATTGAAGTTATATTTTCAACCCTTACAATAATAGATGGAATAAATAGACAAAAATGAGCATTTTAGTAGCCATAAAAGCTGGCATTAAAGTTGTAATAAAATGACTTTTATACCCTTTTCTCAAACAAATAAATAGAGGGTAATTTTAGTCCAAAGAAAATTCCACTTTCTATTCACACTATTGTATATAGTGTAGATTATAGTAGAGTTTAGATGATTAATGCAATTTCAACCATCTTAATTAAAGTTTATGAAAATACAAATTTACTCCTTAGATAACTCAAGTTGAAGGGACAAATTTTGTTCAATGAAAATTCCAAAATATAACACCACATTCAAACTTTTATAAGTAGCATAAATGATTTTAAGGCAGTCTTTTTAATAGTTTAAGTCCTGAAGTTGAGAATAAGAACAATGAAGAGAAAGATTAGAGTTTTCAGAACTCAGAATGCAAAGGGAGGGAATGAGTGAGTTGAATAAGGGAATGCTCATATGTGTATGGAATAAAGAATTTTAGTACTTTTCTAAGACAGTTAAGCTCAAATCCCTAGGCTGATTTGATAAGGGGCACACATCAGATTGCAGATCGGGGACCAACTATTGGTCTACACAAGCTATCATTATCACCTCTTTGTGATTTTATCATGTGTTGCCTGCGGGTGGCCTTTGTAGAGAACACGTGTTGCATGGAGATCATGCACTTTTCTATCCACGGGTTTGCATGGCTATCTTTTCGGGGGACCACAATCGGTTGGTAGGCATCATAGCGACTAGCCGCGGTTCATAACCATGCTGTCATTGTCATCATGATTTTTAAAACGACTCGGCAACCGAATCAGTCAGGGGTCTAGTTATCGGGTCGAAAGGTTTGATCATTCAATCAGAACGGTTGATTCATTCTGACAAAAAAATAAAAAATATTTAAAAAAAGATTAAAATCGTTCGAACGATTAACCAGTCGGTTCAACGGTTTATTGACCAAAATCAACGATTTTAGGGAAAAATAGAACCGATCAGATAACCGGTTCCTAGTTTTTCCGGTCCGACTGTCCAATCCAGTCTGATTTTGAAAACCATGATTGTCATGCCACAATGGGTGATTGCAGTTATCCAAAAGGCAGATTTGCATATGTGTGACCATGACTCTTGACATTATTTCGTGGCCAAATTGTCATTGTCATGCTGCGACGGTGATTGCAATTATCCTAAAGGCAGTTTTGCATACTTGCGTGACCACAAGTCATGGCATTCAAGCGTATTTATATCTTTCTACTGTACGCTGTACCCATGCATATCAAAAACATATCGCAATACATATCCATTTCCTAGCTTACCAATACGATGTGCGATATGATATTTTGAACCTTTGATGAAGACAAGTCAATATTGATTGTTTTAGTTCTTTTTCACCAAATGTATCATTAATTAGCTGGTTATTTCCAATTAAATTTCAAATTTGAAGGTGGAACGCCTGTGTGAAAATAACTCTTACTACTAGACCATATCTTAATAACTTGACAGAGAAAGATGGTTTCAAGTCACATTTTATAGAAAGTGAAATTAACAATTTTCGACAATGAATATAATTTATATTGGTTCCCTACAATTCATATACAAGTTTTGATTCTTTAACTTTTTCCAATTTTTCTTGAGTGTATCTCACGAGCAACGTACATCATCATCATCATCTAAGCCTTATCATGTTTTACTATTTCATTCTATTCAGTACCATATCTTTTCTTTCTTTCTTTTGTTTTGTTGATGAAATGGGAAGAGGGGCTACACAGAATGGGGGGTCGCACGTCCCCCGAAATCCAAACAATTAGGGTCTAGGAAGGTTTTCTAAATTATGTGTGCTTAAATCATTTTTTACTCACACTTGACATAGACAAAATATAGTGTCATATTTGTCTATATTCAATACCTTATTTCTAGTCATTTCAGCATGACCCTGGTGATTGCTAAACTGGCAACAACAATCTTGTCCACCATCTTCAATTGCTTATGGGAGAATGATGATAGGTAGTTGGATTAGTTTTCCAAGTCAAGTAAAACCCCATCCGAAACTTTCCATGTAGACAATGGATTCTAAAAAATGGACAAGTAATTGGAAGTGGAGTTGC